AGGCACAGTGGCTAATGCCTGTAATTCCAGCACTTTGGGAGGCGAGAGGATTGCCTGAGCTCAGGGAATTGAGACCAGCCTGGGCAGCTTGGTGAGACTATGTCTCCACAATAAATAAATAAATAAATAGATAGATAGATAGATAGATAGCTGAGATGGAAGGATCACCTAAGCCCAGCAGGTGGAGGCTCTGGTGGCTGTTAGCGTGCCACTGCACTCCAAAAAAGAAAAAGAAAAATGAAATTGACATGACTATATATATATAAGCAGAAAACCCAGAAGAATTTAGTAACTATTAGAAATAAGTACATTTATTACTGTCACTAGATCAGAGTCAAAATAAAACAAATTGTATTCTTACCTACTAGCAACAATTACATTGATAGTTATGTGGTTGTTTAATTAGGTTTTTAATTAAGTATTCATTTGTGCTTATAAATTGCTACACAACTAGAAAATAAAACTATAAAGAAATTATGCCATTCACAGTACTTTAAACTTATGAAGTATCTCAATAAATGAAATCAAATAAAAATGTGCAAGATCTTTTTACAGAAAAATTTTAAGTATTAAAGAAGAAATTGAAGAAGAGCTAAATAAATTGAGGGATATAGCAGGTTCATTGACTGGAAGAATCAATATTGTAGGTATGACAGTTTCCAATTTTTTCAAATTTGATGAATAGATTTAATGCCATAGCAATTAAAATACTAGCAAGTATTGTTTTGTTTTTTTAAAATCGGATGGTGGTTAGAAGTGGCATCTGGACTTGAGAATTTATATAAAAATGCACAGGATTAGAGTTACCAACACAAGTTTGAAGAATATAATTGGAGGAATTATTCTAATGGGTATCCAGCCTATTTATAAAACTAAAGTATTAAAGACAGCATGGTAGTGGTACAAGAATAGATAAAAGAGACAGATAAAAAAGGATAGTATACAGAAACAGAACTATGCATATATGAACAATTGATTTGTGGTAGTGATGTTATTGTAGTAAATGGGGTGCTGAAGCGATTTATTTTTCATATGGGAAAAAATAAAATAGGAATCCTACCTTTCACCAGACATAAAAACTAATTCTAGGTGAATGGTAGATCTAAACATGAAAGGAAACATGACATAAATACAAGAAATAATAGATAAAATATTTTAAGACCTGAAAATAGTAAAAGATTCTTAAAAAGGACTCTTTATTAAGCATAAATAAAAGGATTAATACATTGGGCTATATTAAAATTAAGAGCCAACCGGGCTCCGTGGCTCAGCCTATAATCCCTCGTCTTTGGGAGACTGAGGTGAGTGGATTGCCTGAGCCCGCCGGTTGGAGACCTACCTGGGCAGTGAGACCTCATCTCTACAATAAATCAAAAAATCAGCCGGGCGTGGTAGCACATGCCTGTAATTCCAGCTACTTGGAAGGCTGAGGCAGAAGGATCGCTGGAGCCCAGCAGGTCGAGGCTGCGGTGGCCGGGAGCGGCCACTGCACTCCAGTCTGGGTGACAGAGTGAGACTCCAACTCAAAAAAAAAATAGCCTTTGGTTATTAAAAGACACCTGAAATGAGTAAAGGCAAACTATGTAGTGGAAAAGCCATTTTCAACACATATACTAGACAAAAAGGGCTCCTAACATTTATATAGAAAGAACTCCTACAGTTCAAGTAAATAAAGTACACAATTTAGCAGAAAAGTGTTAAGAGACTTGAAAAGACACTTAACAAAAGAGGAGAGCAATATGGCCAATAACAAAAAGGGTGCTCAACCTCTTTGTTATTTAGAAAAAGACATTAAAACTACAATGAGGTAGCACAACAGACCCATCAGAGTGGTTGTAATTAAAGATTGTCAATACCAAGTGAGTGTGTCAAGGATGTGGAGCAACTGGAGCAATTGTACGTGTTTCTTGTGTAAATTGGTATAATAACCACTTTGTTAAAATGCTTGAAATTATCTACTAATATTGAATGTGCACATATGCTATGATCCAGAAATTTCATGTCTATAGTTACAAAAGAAATGGTTACACGTGTATAACACAATACATGAAAGTTTGTGACAGTATTTTTTCCTATGAAAAATTGTGTATTTATTTGTACATGTTTAAACTTAAGTCGTCTTCAAAGTACTCTTCATTTGATGCATGTGACATTATTTTTATTAGACTCAGAAGCAATCCAACCCTTATTAACTGTGTAAGAGATAAATTATGGCATATTTGTATACTGCAGTATTACACAGCAATAAATTTACTGCTGTCTACAATAATATGGACATATACCTTGTGCGTGCTGTGGAGTCCACATCTTGCAGGTGTTCTGTAGGTTCAGGGTAGACTCATTTTTATGGGGCAGGGGGAGGCCATGCGGTCAGCGACAGCACCATGAACCACCAGGGGAATCAGGTCTGTCGCTCAGACTGGGAAGTCCCAACCTTAGGAAACTTTGTAGCGGAACCGACTGCAAAGAGAGACAGGACACTGAGGCCTCTTGCCAGGAAGCAGCGTTCATTCATGCTGTCCCCAGCTGGGGGGATTTGCATCCAAAGGGAAGGCATTGCCTTATGTACTATTTCTTTACATTGTAACCTTTTTGTCTCCTCTACAAGGTTACAGTTTGGCATTATTCATTTGACTGGATACTTTGTAGCTTGAGGCTGCAGTTAGCATTCCTTGTTACACATTGATTGGTTTTGCATAATTATTTCATTTGCGTGTCCTGTTTGCTGGTTGGCTTACAAGGTCATTAATCTGATTGGATTCCGCCAAAAGTTTGAGTAGCCCACCCAGAAGAGTAGCACAAAGAAGCAGGAAGTAACTTATTTTCCCTTTCCTTACTCCTGCATCTTCAGAAGGGCCCCTGGCTCAACTTGTGTTTGTGGAGGGTGTGGGTATCCATGGAGAAGAAGGTTCTAGGATCTAGAGTAAAATCTGCTGTGGGGGTGGAAGATCAAGTCCTTCTGCAGCATCCGCAAGAACTCTTCGTGGTGGAGTGTCTGCTGTGGGGCAAGAGTGCCCGCCTGCATTCACCGCCTCCGGGAAGGGCACCATCCCCCGCATCCTCGACAACACTCTTGCTGTGGAGATGCGGACACGCGGGCTGTGGATGTCAGGTGGAAACTCGACAGCATCTGGCTCAGAGTTGAGAACCATCTGCAGCGAGGGCTTCATGAAATTCCCTTGATGCCCCCTGGGGCTCTTTCTGCTCCTGACATGGAGGGAAGGGCCTGGACAAGTCTCCTTTCCCCCCATTTGAGAGACTGTGCATAGGGGCAAGATACTGAACCCATTTGACTTAAAGCACTATATATAATATATAGATATGTGCTATGTATATACTTGCATATAATTCATATGCAAATATAAATATTAAAGAGAGTCTTGAGAAATAGCCACAGCAACCTAGACCTGGCAAAACCTAGACCTGGCAAAAATGCTAGGAGACCCAGAGTGGGAGAAAGGCCATTACACTGTCACAGGGCCTTTCAGGATCTGTACAGATGGCTCAGGTTAGAGTTATTAAATAGTCGAGAGGTGACTGGAAGATATTCACTGAGAAATTGGAAATTTAAAAAGCAACATGATTCTCCTTGACATGCAGACAACAGAATGTCAAAACATTAAAAGAAGGTTAACATCCAGGGGAGGCTGAATGCAGAAAAACAGGCATATTCTGAGACTGCTGGGGACGATGTACCTACCACAGCCCTTTCAGAAAGTAATCTGGCTGTAACTATTAAAGTATGACATGTACATATTCTTTTACTATGTGAATTGTGTTCTCACCAAAACTTGTATGCTGATGTTCTGACACCCAGTGCCTCAGAACTGACAGTATTTGGACATACGGTCTTCAAAGAGAAAATTCAGTGAGTGAGTTGTATTGGGGTGTGCCCCCATTTAGTGTGATGGGGACTTTATTAAAAATGATAGCTGGTGAGGACATAGAGGAGCATACGAGAAGACCCTTTGGAAACAGAGAGAGGGCCATCATCTGCAAGCCAAGGAGAGGCCTCAGAGGAGCCACCCCTGCCAATAGCTTGATGTTGGATTGTAGCCTCTAGAAATACGAGAAATTAAATTTCTGATTTGTTAGACCATTCAGGCTGTTATGATGTGTTATTTTAACATTAGCAACTGTTACAGCCTGTTAGGACACTCAAAACAGGATGTTCCCTGCAACATGGCTGACATGGAAATAGAATTTTATCATGTCAGGCTCCACCAGCATTTAAAGGTTGAACCACTGTGAGAAATAGCCTTCTTTATGGAATATTATGAAGATGTGAGGAACAGACTACTGAATCACACACCCTGAATGGATTCATAAAAATTATACTGAGTGGCATGGCTAGGTGTAAAATAATGTATATAGTAAGTCCCCTACATACGAACCTTCAAGTTGAGAACTTTCAAAGATGAGAACATGCATTCATATGTTTAATCATGTTAGTTAGTTCACGTGTCTGGCATGCATATCACGTGTGCATCCTCTCCAAGTGGTCTCCAAGTAGCCGTACTTTTGTATGCTTTACTATACAGTACTGTATAGAGTACAATTCAGTATAAACCCATTACAGTACAGTACTATATAGCCAGTTGTGATAGTTGGGTACCTAGACTGACTTTGTTGGGCTTATGAACAAATTGGGCTTATGAACACGCTCTCAGAATGGAACTTGTTCTTATGAAGAGGACTTACTGTACTGTATGATTTCAGGCAAAATGAACCTATTAAAAAAATTGCAGTAGTTAAGTTGCTTCTGGGGGAGGAAGAAATTGCCTGCCAAGGAACATATGGTAAATTTCTGGGAATTGTGAAAATATTATGTTCTTCAGAGAGGTAAAGTTTATATTAGATTATTTGTCAAAACTATACAGGTAGGATTTGTGCCTTTGAATGTTCATTGTTCATTTTCTGATTTCTGGAAGGTGGATGGGCCCCCATCAAGCAACAGGTGTGAGGCAGTGGTCTACCTGTGGACACTTCCTTCTTGCAGCTCCTGTTCTCTTTTGGAATATCTTGTCTCTCACCCTTGGACCTGAGAAGAAATAATGGTAAGAAGAGGGTATTCCTTTATCTCTGGCAGAAAAGAATGATGAAGGCCCTTTTCCTGCCTGTTTTCAGGGAGTCAGAGCCCTTAGAGATATAATTCAGTGTGGCAGCCATTAGCCTCTCAGGGCTGCTGAATAACTGAAGTGGACTCCTCTAAACTGAGATGTACTGGAAGCTTAATATATAGAGTGAGCTGTGAAGGTATTGTTTCTTCCCCAAAATCTTTATCAATAATTTTATATTGATTATATTTTAAATGATACTATTTTGGGTTAAGTAAAATATTACATTCAGTTTCACTTTTTTTTTTTTTCTTCTATGTGGCCACTGAAAATTTTTAAATGACACAAGTCAATCACATTTTAATTTTATTGGACAATATTGACTGAGAGGTTTGTCTCCCTTTTCAAAACTCAGGCTGCTTCAAAAATCAGAGGCCAGGAATGTTATAAAATGTTAAACTTTAAAATCAGTGTCATGCCAGGCTTGGTGGCTCAGTCTGTAATCCCAGCGCTTTGGGAGGCTGAGGTGAGTGGATTGCCTGAGCCCGTGGGTTCGAGACCTGCCTGGGCAGGTGAGACTTCATCTCTACAATAAATCAAAAATTAGCCGGGCGTGGTAGCATGCGCCTGTAGTTCCAGCTACTGGAAGGCTGAGGCGGAAGGATTGCTGGAGGCCAGCAGGTCGAGGCTGCGGTGGCCAGGAGCGTCCACTGCGCTCCAGTCTGGGCTACTGAGTGAGACTCCAACTCAAAAAAATAAAATAAAATCAGTGTCATTATATTGTTTCCATTTTTGAACAGCATGTATATGTACTGTATAGATATTATTTATAAATGGACATTAAATTACCTAAGAGGTTAAATGCAAATGTTACCCAGGCAAGGAAGAAGCCCGTTTTGAAAAGTCTGCATCAAAACCCTCTGCCATTCTGGTCCTGTTTAACCCTGTGTCTGATTGCATCTCCTGTCACTCAGTGCAGGAGGGAGTGGTGCTTGGAGCCTTATCCATTCAGAAGTGCTGTGGAGAAAAATTCCCAGTCAGGCGTTAGGCCAGATAGGAGGGGCACCTTCTGGGATTGCATGGGACCACTGTCTCTTGGGCCTGAGCAATGAACTCCAGGTCCCATCTCCACTGCCTTATATCTTACTCGCCAGGAGGCCAAGGTGTTTCTACTGCAGCCTCTGTCCCCCTGGATGTGCAAGTACTGGGAGACTCCTAGAGAGAATGCCAGGACTCCCCAAAGGCTGGGCATGGTGAGTGTGTGGGCCAGGTGTCCTCAGAGTGGAAGAGGCTGGTGGGAATGGGGGAAACCAACTGTGTTGAGACCTCAGCCTCCCTGGTTTCCCTCCAGTTGCAGGGTGGTGCTGGACTGGCCTCTGGGAGCCCAGGCATCCTGTCCCATCCCTGTGGTGACTGGGCCCCATTGGAGCCTTCTCTGGACCGCTCTGCGCCCCCAGCCCCGCACCGCCCGGATTTCGTGGGGCCAGCTGAATGGCCGTCAGAGGAAGATCCAAACTCGGCACACAAGGTTTGTGGATGGGAGGGGTTGTGTCCCTGGGATCTCTAATTTCTCTTCTCCTCAGGTGAGTATTAAATCAAGGTTCAGTTAAAACGTTGTAGAGTTTATTTGAGCAAGCAGAGATGATGGATCTTGAAGCCCTCAGCCAGGGTTTGTGGCTTGAGAGTCACAAGAAGAGCTTGAAGGAAAGGCTTCTGTAAGGAGGAAGCAAGCCACATACAATCACGAGTTATAGTTATATAGTCAACCTATTTGGATGACACTGACTCCTGGTTATGTCATCAGATTAATGGCTGGTTGGTTATGGGTGAGTTTTGTTTTTCTTAAAGTTATTAATATACAATAAATATACATGAGTTACATTTAGGATTTCTTAGGTAAGAACCCAAGGCACTTCAGCCACTTTAGTCTAAGTGGCGCCTATTTAATTATTTTGATACTCTGCAGAAAGACTGGTTTTTGTTTCCAGATGTCTCAAATCCATGACCCTGTTCTCTAGCCCACCTGTCCCAGGGCTTGCATCTTAAATTACTAGTTCTGTCCACACATTCTCAAATGCCAGCTTCCTCACTTCAACTCATAACCCTATTGAAGAAGGTGAAGATGGAAAGTCCTGACCCATGTCACTTTGGAAAATAGTGTTTTTATTGACTCACGAACTGTACACAAACACTCTATTCTATTTGGTAATTTTTTTCCCCTGAGAGTATGGATTAACAATTTAAAAATGACTTAACATATCACTATATGTATTGTAGATCATTAGTGCCTGTTTCTTACTGTAGTTGAAAGAAGTTAGAAATGAAGGGAGAATTTTATAATGAACCTCACGGTACTAGACTGGAGTTGGGAATATTAGGGTAAACCCATTAAATGTGTCCATCCAGAGACAGAAAGAGACGTCCTTATACCTGAGTTTGTATTCATACATAACGTTTCCAAACGCTGTGTGCTGATGGACCACAAAAACAGTGTCATCCCAGTATCAGTGAGCAAATTCAGCTCTCAGATCATTGTTCTAAAGGTAATTCTTCAATCAAGGGAGTTGGGGCTACTTGTAGAAATGGATAATTCTAGGGCTGAAAATGGAAAATACCAGTTAAGCCTATAGTATCTTTAAGAGTCATACAGGTAAAAAGCACGTTACAGACAATAGAAGGGGACATGTCAAAGAAAGCCAACCTGACAGATATCTCAGTGTCTCAAGTTGTACCAATGTGAGCAACAAAATAAATGATGATAGCATTAGCTAACAGTCCAAAGACAAAATAGATATCTATGAGTCTATACGATACAGAAAAGATTAAATAAGTAAGAAAAGAAAGAAAAGGAGGGAGGGAGGGAGGGAGGGAGGCAGGGAAAGAGGGCTGGAGGAAATTTTACAGAATTCCAAGTACTAACTGGATAATGCAAAGTAGAGCATCATCACTAGAACATCATAGTAAAAATTACTGTGGGCAAAAAGCACGAAATAACACAAAAGTTGTAGGTGATGTTTGTTTATTTTTCTTTATTAGTGTTATTTTTTGACATGGGGTCTCACTCTTTCACCCAGGCTGGAGTGCAGTGGTATGATTATGGCTCACTGCAGCCTCCACCTTCTGGGCTGAGGCAGTCCTTCCGCCTTTGCCTTCCAAGTCACTGGAACTACAGGTGTGCACCATCACACTCAGCTGATTTTTTTGGCTTTTGTAGAGATGGGGGTCTTACTCTGTTGCCTAGGCTGGTCTTGAATTTCTGTTCTCAAACAGTCTTCCTGCCTCTCCTCCCATTGTGCTGGAATTACAGATGTGAGTCACTGCACCAGCCTGTAAGTGATGTTTAAAGGGGAAGCAGTGTAATTGCATAATCCCAAAATATCTGCTTCCATATATTTATTTAGGCCATTTCTTCCTAATCTCTGAAACATCTATGATTATTAAAAGCAAAAATTCTAACACTGAGATTTTATTGTGTATGGGTAAAATTTATGAGTGACACAAATGATAGAAGGAGGTAATTGGAATTGTTCTGTAACAAGCTTTTAATATTTTACGTTTACTATAATAGTTTAGTATTAACTCTGAGTAGATTGTGTTATGTTAAAAATACATATTGTAGTTTCTGGAGCAACAGCCAAAATGTAAAGAGGTGTCATTTAAATGCTAATAAAGGAATTAAAATAGATAGAAAAAAAGTATTGTACAAGAATGTTTATAGAACTTAGTCGTAATAGCCCAAATCAGGAAACAACTCAAATGCCCATCAATAAGAAGATAAATGAACAGATTATAGAAGATTCATACAACAGATCACTACTACACAGTAATATAAAGGAATAAAACTGAAACACACACCCTGGAAAACTAAAAAATCTGCTAAATGAAGCAAACTGGACATAACACATATTGTAAGATTTCAGGCAAAATGAACCTTTGGTTAAAAAAAAGGATAGCAAATAACCTCTGACAGAGGATAAAATTGTTCAGGAAGGAACATTAAGAAATTGAGAATAATGAAAATATTTTATTCTTAAAAAGTGTGAAGGTTATATAGCTGTATTTATTTGTCAAAAGTATACACTTAAGATGTTTATTAGCTGGGTCCAGTGGCTCAGCCTGTAATCCCAGAACTTTGGGTGGCTGAGGCGAGTGGATTGCCTGAGCCTGTGGGTTTGAGACCAGCCTGGGCAACTTGGGGAGACCTTGTCTCCACAATAAAATAAAAAAAATTAGCCAGGCGTGGTAGCACATGCCTGTAGTTCAGCTACTTGGAAGACTGAGGTGGCGGGATTGCTGGAGCCCAGCCAGTCGACTCTGGGGTGACCATGATCGTACCACTGCACTCCAGCCTGGGCGATGAAGTGAGGCGCCAACTCAAAAAAACCCAAAAAAAGATGTTATCTTTCTGTATCTCATCTCTGACCTCACACACAAAATACTGAAAAAAAATGAAGTGAGTTTGGGGAAGATGTTGAAGGGGAAACCAGAAAGACCCATGATTAGTAGTTGTTAAGGCTGGGTGGCAGGTGTATTAAGTTATTTTGTGTATTGAGTATATGGCGGAAATGTTCTGTAATGAAACACTTGGATAAAAAAGCAAAATTGATCTACAGTGTTAGCTCTTAATGTAGATCATGGTTACCTTTGTGGAGGAAAGAGGAAGAAAGTGATTGTCAGGGACGTGAGTGAGGCTAGTTCTGTTTCTTATTTACACAGATGTATTTGCTTTGTAATACATTATTGAGTTTTACATGAATGCTTTGTGCATATATTTCTGTATGTATGTTATGCATCAGTAAAGGATAAATATTACATAAAATGCTAATTAAGTATCTCAGAATAATGACAGTATTTTTTGTTTGTTTGCTTGAAGGTAAAACATTTTCACACAGGGCAACATCACACAGGTTTTAATGTCTCTCCTGATTGTGCAGGGAAGACGAGAGATTTTCCAGAGGAGGATACTGACTTGGTGTGTGGGGTTTGTGTGTGGGAGGAACTGTGCTCCATAGGTCTCTGGTCCTACCTTTCTCCTGTTAAAAATTAAAGGAGGTTGGACAACCTCTTTCAGGTCCCCTCCCACTGTGGGAACTTTTCTGTCTTCTTAATCCTACTTTCTGAAAAAAAATTAAAGTGAGTCTCCATTAAAACGTTAAAGACTGTTTTTGAGCAAATAGTCATTGTTAAACTGGAGAGCACCAGTTTATGGTTTGGGGTTTTTGGGGTTCCCGGGAAGTACTTGAAGAAAAGTTTACAAGGTGCAAGAGGAAACTGACCAAATTCGCTAAGTAATTCGTGACATTTCTATAGTTGCCTTATTTCGTTATCCAAGTGGAAATGCCTGGCTATGTAATCAAAAGTTAATTGAAGGTTAAACTTGAATTTTATTTCCCCCTAAGTAATAATTTGCAAGAAATAAATTGAGCTTGGTTTTGGTATTTTTACCTACAAACCTAGGGCACTAGAGCTACCTCAGTCTAATTGCCTGCTATATAACTATTTTAACACTCCACAGAGAGACTGGTTTCCCCTGCATTTTCAAGTGTGTGGTATGCAGGGTCTCACATCCACCACCCTGTTCACACAGCCTATTTTGGGCTTGCAGTAGCCTCTGAAATTTTCAGTTCCTTGGTGATATTTTCAAACACCAAACTTCCCCTCAATAATTTACAACATGAGCTAGTATTTGCTCTTTATTGTATGTTTAAAACACAGTATTTGAATTAATTTTTCACAGAACAGTGGATGGCACTTTTTAAAAGATGTTTTCTCTTTGTAAACATTTCACATGAGAAGAAAAAAGAGAATAATCCTATGACACTACTGTAGAAAGTCTCTATGCCTCTCTTATGTCTTTCCTAGGCGCAGGCACCTCATTACAATATCTTTGGGTGGAGGTTCCACTTTGGAAACATTCCAGTGTGATGTGCCCTCAGCTACCCTCCTGCATTTTTCTGGTCCTGGGTTTTAGGCTGGGTATGACCCAAGATGCTCTCTGTGTCCATGTCTCTTAAGGTGGCTGGCTAGTGGGTTATCTACTCCTAGAGGATAGCCTCAAGCATGGAAGTGGGGAACCCCCTAGGGAGAGGCTGGGTGCCCTGGGGCTTATAGTGGTCTCCTGGTATGGCCTTCTTCTGGAAAGCTAACCCTTAGGACGTGAGGACTACCTTTCCCCAACCCTAGTTTTTATTTCTTAGAAACATATTGCATGTCAGCCTATCAGATTCTGATATTGAGGGGGAATGAAGAAAATGATTCCTGCCCTCTGGAGAGGAAACTTATTTCAAAAGTTAAAAAAAGCTGGGCTCGGTGGCTCAGCCTGTAATCCTGCGCTTTGAGAGGCTGAGGTGAGTGGATTGCCTAACTCCGCGGGTTCGAGACCCGCCTGGACAACTTGGTGAGACTGCATCTCTACAATAAATCAAAAAAGTAACCGGGCGTGGTAACGTGTGCCTGTAGTTCCAGCTCCTTGGAAGGCTGAGGCAGAAGGATTGCCGGAGCCCAGTAGGTCGAGGCTGCGGTGGCCGG